TATCTCAGCAACAAAGCTGATTGCGCACGAACCAAGTTGGGATTCTTCATAGTCCATGAGGATCTACATTTTAAAAATAGTCCCACTCAAAAAGATTTTTAGCACCTCAGGCGGTTCCCTCGTAAGTAAAATTTTCAATGATTTAACAATAATTGTTGACTTACTTTTTCTCCTTTTGCTCTTAATTTATAATACGGTTCAATTTGAAACCAAGATCCTTCTGTACCACTTGGGTCCAATGATACACGCATTGCATTTTTTTCCAAAAAAGCCGGTAAACGTTTATTGACAGTTAAATATTTATTACTTTTGATGTGTAATAACTGAAAAATAGAGAGAGAAACAAGTTTTCATAAAGCTAGAAAAAAAAGAATGAAACATAGTTCTTTTACCTGGACAACTGTATCACCGTATTTAATTACGGTTCCCGTTTGTTTTCGACTTTCTTCTTCATTTTGACGTTTTTCGGTATCTGCAGCTAACTAAGAAGAGAAACAAATACACTTCAGGCTTCAAGTTAGAAATAAATATCACACACGCACACTTAAATTAGTTCTTATATTGACGATGTTTAAACCAACAGCTATCAATCACTGACTACCACTAATCTACAATGGTGACTATTGTGGTAGTCTTTTCTATACAACAACTATTATACCTGTAATTTTTTTAAATCTCTCACACCATTTGGACTTTTCATGGCGTTCCAAAATTGCGTTTGTGCACTATAACGAAGACAAGGACAAATTCGAAATAAACAATCTAAACGGAAAAAATTATACTAGTCCAATTACAAACGTTGACAATGTTCACTTACCTCTAAATTTTTTTGGAGGTTTTTGTAGATCACCAGCATCTGGTTGGACTACGGAACGATCGTCAACAAGTCTAGACAGAAAAAGGAAACAGATTCGATCTTACATTTCAATTAGCATAAAAAATATATACCCAAGTGTACTGATGAATCCACAGACAGTTCCTTCAGCATACAGTGCAACAGTATCACCGATTTTTAAAAAACTCGATGTTGACTCCATAAATTAACTAAAACGAAAAATATATGGTTAACTTTTCTAAAAAAAAGAATAGCACATTTTTCTAAGACTTTTATATGCTACTTAGGTCATACCAAAAGTAGTGAGCCACATACCTTATTTTTGTATAGAAGGCTTGAGGAAATTTTCTTTCTATATAGTCTGATAGAGAAAAGAATGCTCTATTTTTCTATGCTATTTGATCATAGTTCAACTAATATTATAATAATAAAGTTTGGATAAGATCTATTTTGTTCGAATGTGTCTCGGTAACACGAATCCTAGTGAGTATTTTTTAAATAACTTTCGGTAGAACCAAGATAGAGAACTTCGGTTTTCACCATTGGAAAGAGGAGATGAAGATGCATCGAATCATGTATTATAGGTTTTTCTAGTATTGTTTTCTGAAGTATTTTTATTCAATTTTCTAACTGTTGGAAAAATGTTTTTTTAATAAAAAAAAGGAAAAAACACAAAAGTAAGCTTTTTTCACAGAAATTGCTAGAAAATCATATTAGAGCCTAGACAAGAATACATATTATTCAGCTCAGCCATTGGCAGTTTGTAGATCTTCGATTAGTGATTTGAATCTATACATAATAATTGAACATTGAATGTGAACAACTTACCAGATAGGTTTCTCCTGGAAAAGACCAATTGAAAACCTTACAAAAAATGAATTAGGAAACCTTGTAACATATAATTCGATGCGTCTTCACCTCCTCTTTCCAACAGTGAAAACCGCAGTTCTCTATCTAGTATCTATCAAAAGTTATTCAAAAAATACTCATCTGCCTTATTTTAAAAGTACCGTAACACATAGGAACAAAACAGATCTTATCGAAATTTTATTATTATAATATTAGTCGAAGTATGATCAAATAGTATAGAAAAATAGAGCATTCTTTTCTCTATCAGACTATATAGAAAGAAAATTTCCTCAAGCCTTCTATACAAAAATAAGGTATGTGGCTCACTACTTTTGGTATGACCTAAGTATTAGGAACAAGCTGTTTTTCGAATTATAAAACATATTCAACTCAAGTCTCAATTCAAGTTTCATATTCAATACAAAATATTGCCTATATTTTGGTATAATAGAAGTTGAATATACCTGTCATGTTTAACTTAATCCAGAAATAAGAAGTGAACTTTTATTGTTTATAAATGAAGTTATTGTCTGATTTGAACTTTAAAATTCAAATATAACAAATAAAAGTCCTTGTGCTTCTAAATAAGAATGATAATGAGCCCTGCTGTAATATTTCTTAATTATGTTATACAAATTTTACTTATTCTACAAAAAGAAAAGTTGAAAGTTCTCAAATATTCACAAAGAATAAAAACATTTTCTTTTTAATATTAGGCCAATGTACATATCCAGAAGTCCACTATATTATGTTCATAAATACAATTGTATTACTGATTATTTCTTTGTCGGCTATGTGCATCTGACCTTGGTCAAAAATAGGTGACACATAGACCTGGTGTCTGATACTGTTGAAATTACATACCATTCAAAACTGATAAATATTTGCTTACTGAACTTAATGAACATCTGGCAATAAAGTATCGCAAATGATACTTCTGACACTATATTGAGGCAATGACCACTTAGAACGAGTTTATTAATCACAAGAAGAAGACAGAACAGTAGAATACAAAAAAAAGGAAGAAATAAAGACGATTTTTTTTTTTTACTTTTTGTTGTTCGCAATAATAGCACCACGATAGTAGTCTAAATATACGTGTATGCTATCGACAATCTAAATAGAAACCCCGACATAAGGTCGTACGATTAATAATACGTAGAAAAGCACAAAAGAACAGAACGAGAGAAAACAATCCTTTCTGGAGGAGCACTAGGGATGTTTTTGGTTGAAAATTGGCATTTCAAGAACGTGCATGAATGAAGTTTGCTCCTTTCTGTTTAATGCAAGAACATAATGGACTACATGTTTCTTTTTTCTCTCGAATACTTACATATGCACATTTGCTTTTTTTTAATCGAAAAAAAGAAGAGAAAAGAAAAAACAGTTTCACATTTGCATTAATATAAATAATATGTACAGCTGATTACGTCAAAAGTTTACATTAGTGTGTATCTAAATAGTATCATAAATCATGCCGATTAATCGAATTAGGTGCGTCGACACAAACAAAAGTCCTTAAACTAGTGAACAATACTAGGTCACTTCATTTCAAAATGAATATGAGTGATTCTAGTATTTTTTATACCGTTGTTAAAGAAAAAATGAACCAAAATGCAAGTGACCAGAAAAATATTTGAACATTATATGTTTATAGAGGGTACTTACAAGTCTATAAGAAAGCCTATTTCCAAACTATCAAGTTCTTGTCTGCCCAAATGCTGGTTGTTCACTTTTTGACTTAGGATCGAAAATACGATTTTCTCTGTTTTTCAGCTAAAAAATCATAACTGAACTTAAAAATATATTGAAAAACTGAGTCGACCATTCGATTCAGGATTTCAAAATACGTATAATCTGAAAATTCGAGGCTTTATGGGTTAGCCGTTACGATTTCAGAGATGTGTTTGGGGGTGGGACATTTCGATGTATTTTGGAATTTTCTCTCCTGGCAAGTAAGAGATAGCCTTCAAATCTTTAGACATTGAATGGTTAGTCATTTCACATATGGAGGAAAAAAATCACGTCTCTAGGTCGTTTACCTTGCTCAGAAGCTTAAATGGGGACGAGACAATTGAGTGTTCCTTGGTTGGCCTAGCCAATAAATTATCGCTCATGCAAAGATGAAAGAGTCTAGACAATTGCAGTTTGTATCAATGGATAGAGTACATGATTCTGCAGAACTTCAGGAAAAAAACTAAGTGACTGACTACTTGCTAATTGAGCTGTAGACTCAAAAGGGGTGAGACTCGCTTTTTCACTTTTCGAGGATCCCGAATTCTGTCGAAGTTTTCACAGAAACTGAAAATGATTAGGCAAAATTAAAACTGCAGATTGGTAGAGCAGATAAAATACTGCACAAAAACAAAAATAAGGTTTCCTTTCACTTACCTTAAGAGAAGAAAAATGTTAATTAAGAAAAAAGAACGTGCAGGCACCGCTAAGAACAGAAGCAAAAAAAGAATCCAAAAACTAAATGACTGGCTTACTGTATACTAAGGGAATAAGAGAGAAAAGAGACGTTATCAGGATATATAGAGTAATATTCAGAATAAAATGACATAAGTGTCCAAAAGTTTATTTTAGTATTAACGGAGAATCAGGCAGGTCCATGAGCTCACCTCGAACGGTATAAAAGTCAAAGCTAAAAGTTAAGTTTTTCACAAAACAAGTTTTATCTTTTCTACTATAAACGTTCTGTGAAAATTGCTATTTAAATGTGCTATTTAATTTTTTAAACCAGCATATTTTTTTTCCAAATATTACACATCAATTCAGAACTAAGATATAATCCATACCGTAGCACAAACAATTAATGTCAGTTAAATAATTCGCTTTTCATAAAAAAAACATTAGAAGAACCTTTCGAGACATTATCGGTAGAGTGTAAATGGATGTCAATTAGAACATGTTGAAAAGTGATACAGTTCGTTTACAGATACTTTTATCACGCAAAACTCG